AAATTATTAGGTGTTCTTTTAATGGTTTCAGTACCCGCGGGATTATTAACAGTACCCTTTTTAGAGAATGCTAAAAAATTTCAAAACTCGTTTTGTCGTCGAGTAGGACACACGACTGTCGACCTTCGTTTTTACACGGCCAAACTGTTAGATTACGAAGGGCAAGAGGAGGCCCTCCTGTCTCAACCTAACCTCGTCGGAATCCAGAGACTCGGATGGATTACAAAGTGAAGCTGACCCGATGTTTATACGACCGAGGCTTCACTCGAGACGAGATCATTCACTTTTTCCAATTGGGTCATGACCTTGTCGGAACCTCTAAAGTTAGCTAAGGCAGAAATGCAATAGGCATATTGATGGAGACGAGGCCGCTTTAGCATTCTTGGACAAGTTCGACCGGCTCAAGATTTAGTTATCATATTATTTTGCTATCTTTATTATTTTGGTTGCTTTCTTTAATTTATTTACTTTCCTAGTTATTATCTTTATTTTAGGAAAATTAAATAATACTCTTGCACCATGTTAGGCAAGAGAAGGACTCTTTTATTTAAAAGGGAGGATTATCTGATGTAAGACTCAGTTTTCTGATGAATTAAAATTATCGTTCTTCTTCAGAGAGAGTATCTCTAAGTTCTATTATCGTCTTGAGAGAGTATCTCAAGCACCCAACGCACACGTTCTACATCACATATGAACCCTTTGGGCCTTTGTTCGGGTCCTATTCTTTGTCCAGTAACTTCTCACATGAGATAAGCCTTAGCTAAGAGCACCAGAAACCTAAGTGCACCATAGTGAGGTTCCACATTTCAAAATTAATTGGTGATGGGAAAAGTAGCAACTAGACATATATACTACACTCATTTTTCTTATAGATTCAATGTGGGACAACTCACAAATGATATTCCAACAATAACGGATTTACTTTATGCATAATTTTCCCTTTTATCATCTTTTCGCACAAAAGCAAAATTTGGAAAATAAGAAAAAGTTTAGTGGTTACCTAATAAAATGGATGCCTTGAAATTCTTTTTTGCCCACTTTTTTCAATGTAAGACCTTTTTTTTTTTAATAAAAAAAATACTGCTTATCATATATATTCATGGTCATGCTTTTTACCATAAAGTCCTTTTGTAGAGTTTTTCCAAATGCAGAAAATGCTATTCATTTTCTATAATGAATTGATATTTGCAATCTGATTTTGATAGGGGTGTATATCTAAAATTACATTTTCATCCTAAAATTAACAAATAATAACCAAACAACCCCTAATTAGTATCTGATCAGATCATCTTCAATACTAATGACATTTTATATGTGAGGATGTTGGTATATATGTACAAACACTACTATAATTGAAGATATTTTTGGTTAATTTCTTCAAATGACATTATATTATTTTCTTTTCAGGTTTTTTACAGTTTGTTGACATTTTATATGTTTTTTTTTTTTCTGCCATTGAAAACACATGTTGTGTGGCCTTATAATTATTTTTAGAAAATTAAAAATAGTTATTTAATATTTTTGCAAATAATCCTGCTTTGTCCTATATGCTTCAAATGATTGATTTAAGCTTAAAATAAAATATTTTTTTGAGCAAATATATCAAAAAAAGGGCAAATGTTGGTTCTTGCTAGTTATTAATAGTTAATTGAACTTAAATATTATTTAAACTTGATGGTTGGATTTATTAAAGACTTAAAAGGGATTGATATTATTGAAACAAATTTCCTCAACTTAAACGTGTCTAACTATTTGGAGAAGGAATAACATGTATGTTTTTTTTTTTTCTTTTTCTTTTCATAAGTTTATGCAATATAGATCACACCTAAGTTACTTATACATTGCAAAATATATAAAATCATATAAAATACAGATAATCAACCAGCTTAAAATACTACGGTGTTATGGAACAATTTCGTCGGGGTTTGTAATCATCATGTAACCGTCGAGGATAGTTAATTTAGCTGTTATAGACCTCGACGGAATG